ACATCTTACATTGCACCTATTACTTATACTTGAACAACCAAAGGTTAGNATACTCCTAATATAGATATCTAAAATTTAAAATTATTAGATTAGGAACAAAGAAAAATATATATATATATAATGTTATTAAAAAAAAAAAAAAAAAATAGTTTAATAACTCTTTAATTTTTTGTACCTACTCATATCTATGTTTTTTTTTATTTATTTTTTCAATTTGTAAAATCGCTTTTGAAATCTTAGCCAACCACTTTATAAGAAACCTAATATTTAAAAAAAAAGTAAAAGATTGCTTAAAGACATGTAAGTGATCTGCATGACATCGAAATGAGAGAGATCTCACAGCTATGCAAGCATGAGTTATAAAAGACTTTAAACTGTTTAAAGTTTACTACCCATACAAGTAAGGTGCACTTTCTAACCTTTCTTTTTCGTGGCCCTCTGTTGGAAACTATATAGTTAAGTTTGGATAATCTTCATTCCCGAATGCAGCTCAAAGTCAAGTAAGTGACGTATCTAGGTGGTAGAGGATGGAAGGAATGATGGGAAGCCATGATCCTTTTGTGATCAGTTAGAAGGTCTGCCATAACTATTAGAGAGGTCTAGTTTCATATTTAGAATTCTAGAAGTCTAGGTAAGGGCTCAAAATCTTTAAAGCAAGACAATCAGCTACATTGTTAAAATTTCTAATTCTATATCCCTATTATAAAAATTTCTACTAAAACAACATCATTTACCCATATATAAAGATAAGCTTTAACGAGACTTCAATTAAGAGAGTCAATTTTTAATGAGATTTTCATCTGGTTTATTGAGTCAAACTTTTAATCACGTAAGCTAGAATATTCGATCTATCAAACTCCAACTCATCATTAGCAAATTTGATACCTTCACGAGCAACTTCGACTTCAACTACAAACTACGGTTCGAAAATCCTAACCCCGAACCACCTCTTAATGTTTTTGTTATACATATCTTTATGAAACATTAAAGAGAATGAAAAGTTGTGTTATTAAAGGGGGCCCTATTTGGTTTGAGGTTCATAAAGATAAAAAGTTGGAAAATGGCATTAAAGCAATCAATAATTCCTTCACCCATAAAACAAGAGGCTGTGGAATAAGTGAGAGTTTTGGATGAGGTTGCCTTGTATTGTAGAAGAAAACAGAAGACTGATTTTGAACAGCGTTTTCAAATTATTGGCTCTGCTGTGCTAATAAATGTTGGTCGGCACTTGAAACCCCACCTCACAATCATCAATTAATGCTTTTGCTAAGCACCAACGCCAATAAATTTTGTTTTTTTACCTTGCTCGGTTAAGACATATTTTTTATATAAAAAAAGTCGTGGATTTCCACCCTACGTGTTGTTGTACTAAAAAATACCAATAAATTTAGTCTACTATTTACTTAGTCTAGACCATTAAAATTAAAATTAAAATACTATTTTGATTATGTACTTTCAACTTTGATTTATTTTTGTTTGTTTGTATCGCAATTGCAGCTTTCAAAGCCATTTCCTCTCAATCTTATCACACACAATAAAATTCAAATTCAAGGTCATGAGCTCCTTTTACACCAACCTTYGAGATAAATTGAACAAGTATGGCCGCCCTCTATTGGGATGTACTATTAAACCAAACACTCCCTCATTCTACTTTTCTGGGACAATTTCTAACACTTGGAGCGCACTCCTTTGGTGTATCTTTCCGATATGGGACAAAATTCAATTATAATATTTTGCTAAAACCCAACCGCTTGTACATGTATCTCAATTTTATTTTATCAAATGTTAATTTTACTTTTAAAAAAGTTGAGCATCTCCCAAATACTATAATAATTTATATTAATCAAAAAATAAATGGTCTATAAAATAGTAAGTGATTTTTAGATATAATTTGATAATTATTAATTTTTATGATAATTCGTGTGATTTACGAATTTGGGTAAATAAATTTTTTTTATAGATATAATTTGTATCATCTACGTGAAAGTGGGTGTAGGTTAATTAGTGGGTGTGTAGGATGACTTTAGATGAGAGTGGGTGAGTTTTAATAGGTCTTTAATTTTTTAATATAAAAATATAATTTAGGTATTACATGAAAAAAAAAAAAGATAATTTAAGTATTACATGAAAATTTAAAAAAAAAAGATAGTTTTATTACATAAAAAAAAAACCAAGGTTAATATATAAGTATAGAATATCAACCATATAAATTAATTAATATGACGTAATTGTACTAAAAAAATGATGTAATTTATAATTCATTTTCCTTCTTAAACCATCCCCTTTCATTCTTTTCGCCAAAGATCCAATGGCCCAAATTAAACCTGAATTTAATTCTCTTTCAACTTCATCTCCCTCGTATTTAAACATCTTTCTTCTTTTAAAATGAAATAACAATTCTCCCTACATCTCTCCCAAATCTTCCATTGTTCTTCATCTTCTAAAATTTCAATGTTATTATAATTTCTTGTAAGAGAATTTTTATTTTGAGAGATCTTCAGCTTCTAATTTTATTTTTACTTAGCAATTTGAAGGCTTTATTTTGTAAGATTTTTCTTACAAAATTTGTGAGTTAAATTTGTAGATCTACTATTTGACAGAGTTTGTAAGATCGTTCTTCAAATTTTAAATCTATTATATTATAGGGTTACTTTTGAGTCCGAAAAAAGAGTGTTGTAACGGTTTGATCCTCAGCCATAGAAAGAATTGGGTTTGTTCTTGTTCTCGAAAAAAAAACATTGTACCGATTGGACTCTAAGTCGTGAAAAGAGTTGTGTTCTTCGATCGAATACACAAGAGGAGCTTAGGAAGTGTACTATAAAATTACCCGTGTCATTTCTCTAACCATTTATTCTTTAATTTGTGCCATTAATTTTTCCTTGTCATAAATAAGCATGAAATTAATTGCTGGAATTTGTTATTGTTTATGAGGAACTAATTAGAGTGCTTGAAATGTATTTCTAATTTATTGAATAATTTGTGTTAAAATTATTAATTTGTAAAAAGTTTACTTATTTATTTAAATTGGGTCCACCATGTAAAAATAATAATTAAAATTTCGTTTAATCTTATTCACCCCATCTAGGATTGTCATAATGATCCAACGGAAATGTCTAACGATATTTTTATAGATGGACCTAATTAGATTAGAGATCGTTTGGTATATCTATGATAGCTTTTTAAACTAGAAGGTCAAAATCTACAAATTGAGCCAAGTAAAAGGTAAAATAGTAATAATTATACTAAATACTTTTAAGGAGGTTGATCAAACCGAACTCAAAACGTACTCTCATTTACCAAGCTAAACGTCGCCAAAACTCGTTCTATCCATAATCATTTTATTCACAAGATTAAAACTCTAAGCTCAAAGATGAAACTAAAAGACTTATTATCTCCAATTAAAGTGACATAATTAATCCAAAATAAATATCTAAAAAAATAAGAACTCAATGCCATCACATCGGCCAAAAAAATAAAGGCTTAAATATGAAAACTAACAAAATTAAAAGAGTAAAATTTGTTATGGAGAACAAAAACGACCCGAAACGGGACAAGGAGTTGAAGCCCGAGATCATCGATTAGGGGAGATCGGCCCGTGACGTAACGGGCCGGCCCAAATAACGACCTAGCGCCGGGGTAGAGAACGAGGAAAGTGACCGGCGAAGAACCAACCGGGCCGAGAGGGCTCGGTCCCGACCCCTGCTCAGCCCACGGTCCAGCCCATGAATCTCCCCCCTACGATCTACGATCCCTCGGGCCTTGCAACGCCGAATTAGGGTTTGACTACGGAGGTTCTAGAATCATCTTCACAGCTATAAGTAGCAGTGAGATCCAACCCTGAAGAGGCAAGTGACTTATCCCTAGCTAACTATTTTCTCAACTCTCCTTCGCTAACTTAAGCATCGGAGCCCATGTGACTAAGGTCACACCAGTTTAGATCGGTTTGATTTTGTAGGTATCGGTTCCTTTATCATCGAGTTAGGTGTGTGCGAGAAAAAGAGCTGGAGGGTCAAAATCCATGCATCAACAATTCGCGTCGTCCATGGGGATAATTTAATAAAGCAAGATTCGTTGAAGCGAAATCCCGATCCGAGGCGAAATCCCAATCCGAGCGAAATTCCAATCTGAGGCGTGTAGAGTGAAACAGCCGACCATTCGGGTGAGGTAGGACCGAGCTCTGATCATCGACTTGATCTGAAAGCGACATGAATCTTGATGAAAGCCATCAATGCTTCGAAAGAAGAGCCTGAAAGAAGCGGCCGATCACTCGGGTGAGGCAAGACTGAGCTCTGATCATCGCTTTAATCCGACCACCCTTGACAGGGGAGAACCAGCATCGGGCCTGAATGAAGCGACAGACCTCTAGAGTGAGGCAAGGTCGAGCCTTGGTTATCGACTTAATCCGACCACCCTTGACAGGGGAGAACTAGTGACGAGCCTCAATAAAGTGACAGACCTCTCAGGTGAGGCAAGGCC